ATGCTATTGGTGCTTCTTCACTTTGGGACCCAGATCCATATTTGTCTTTAGTGTATATCCTCTTCCCGATACCTCCTTCAGTCCCTCTCTGGGCCCCAAGGCTGAGAGTCAGTTAACTGGGTGAGGACCATTTGCTTCCTGCCCAGCTCAATCTTCCCTGGCCATAGGGCTTCCCAGGGAAGGAAGAAGAGGGAAGAATCCAACCACTTTCCAATCCAGTGCCAATTGGCCCACTAAGCATCCCAAGGGTGAATGTGCTCTGTGCCAATTTCTCCTCAGAACTGAGTCAACCCCCTTCAACCTCCTCACCTCTTTAAACACCGTCCATAGAAACAGGTACATTACTGGGGTACCTAGGAGTCAGGACTTTTGACTTCAGGCCCGTCATTTCCTCTTGATGGGGAAAGGGTGAGATTTACGTCCCCAAATGCTCCAGAGTCCTTCAGTGAAAGAATCATTTTTGTTTGTTTGTTTAAGATTTGGGGGAAGATATTTGAGGAGGAAAGAAAGGAGATGATATGACAGGGTTTCTAAGTCTGAAACTCTCTCTGTCATGAGCTGTCCCCATGGTTACTCAAGGACAAGGGGGGACAGTTTTGCCTACAGCTCCAGAGACACAGAGAACAAAGGGTCGACCTTCATTTTTCTTCAAACCAGCCTCTGTGGGGGTCTGTGAGCAGCTTCTACTGGGTCTTGTTTGGATTCTGTGTCTGTATTTATAATTTATTTGAAATGTGCTGGATAGTGTTCTCATTTGGGGGCGCAAGTTAGCAACTGGCCCTTCAGCTACAGAAAGCGGTTGCAAGTGGGGGTGGGGAGGGAGATTATATTCACTCCTGCCAAGGACTCCCAGCCCAGAACTCTCTTTAAAGCAAGGAAGGCTTGTTCTCTTTCTTCTTAACAGGCTCTCTTGTTCTCTGTCAGGAGAGTCTTTTTTTTTTTTTTTTTTTTTTTTTTTTTTTTTTTTTAATTCATGTGGAAATCCTATGGAGAGTCTTGATTTAGGCTATGGCCTCACTCTCCATGGCCACCCTAAGAGGAAAGGCTACTTCACCTCATTACCTCCAGAGGGCTCGGCGGGGCCAAGTACCTCATAGGACTTAACGTTCTTTCCAGCCAGGGCTGGCATTACTGCTTTGCCCAGTGGGGCCTGAGGTAGAAGAAGGTATCTGGTTTGGGCAAGACACTTGTCCTTTGTCCCACCAGACTAACTCAGCACCAGGGTGCCCACCTAGGACCTTTCCTGGACATGAGTTTCCTTCCCTGTTGTGGTCATGAGTCTCTTACTTCTAGGATTGCAGATCAGGGGTAGGGGGGAGAATGTTGCATGTTGTTTTCTGGTGCTTGTTATTAAACATTTGAATAAACAGTGCTGCAAGTACTTGCTATGAAGGATCTGCTGACTGGAGTCCTTCTGGGGATTTGTTTTTCTTCCTTTCTCTTGTTTTTAGCTCTTGGACAAATATCAGGACTTTCTGATAAGTTAGACAGTTTATTGGGGTGCAGAGAGGAGAGCAGTTGTTCCTAGCAGGCTCTGGTCTAGTGACATCTCCTCTTTTGGTGGCACCCAATTAGACCAAAGTAACTGGGACTCATTAACAATTCTGGAGCAAATTCAAAAGGTGAGAGATAGTGGCTTCCACAAAGCTGTTTCCATGTGCTGTCCTACCATCTGTGACCCAAACGGGCTTCCTGTCAGGAGTTGAGGGCCATATGCTTCGGTTTCTTAACTATTAGCTTCCTGTTGAACAAACTTGCACCTCTATCCCCCTTCACACAGTCACCCACTACATTTACATCCCCTAGAAAAATACACTTGGGCACAATTGAACAATTCAATTTTTACCAGATTCCTGGACACCCTAGGGATCATCTGTGGGTCGCGGGTTGATTCCCTGCCCTCAGAGATTATTCTTGAAGTACTTACACCTTCCCTGCCTGAAAAGGAGAAGAAAATCTGAGGTCTTCCTCCCAAACTTGTTTTCCTCTTAACTAAAGGGTCAAGAGTGGGGGTTGGGGTGGGGATGAGGTGCGAGAGGTTGAGGAAAAAGGATTAGTATTTCTTTTCTAATGTGTTGGGGGGGGGGAGAATGGAGGAGGCAGACTTTTGTCTCTTGATTGTGTGAGGGTGGGAAGAAATGTTATCAGCTGAGAAGAAGAAATGGATGATTAAGGTACTTTCCAGACCTTAGCAAGGAAGATGACAGCTCTGATGAGAAATCTCCCTATGCCGAGGCTTCAGAAGCAGCCCTTCCAGCAGAGAAAGTATTCATTAGAAAAAGAAGGCAAAGTGATGGATGAAGTCAGGGTCCAGCCAGGGTTTGGGAAGAGGCGGTACAGGGTATCGATCGCAGTTCTCAGGAGAAGAGAGACGGATCAGCATAGATGCTGCAAACACCAGCCGCCTCGGGGCCACCCCAGTTCCGGGGCTGGCTCTGGCTCGGAGACAGCCTTCTGTCATCGTGACAGGTGATCTTGGTCAGCTTAGCCAGGTCCTCTCAAACCCAGACAACGCCACTCCAACCCTCTGCTCTGCATCAGGGCAGCGTGGGCTTCCCACAGAGGAAGCACGACACGGGAGCCGAGGCCCTCCCCACCTCCAACCCCTGTGTCCTTCAGCACATCCTACAGACTCCCTCCCCTTGCCCTTCTGATTCACAGCGCCCACCTCCCTGCACCTACCCTATTCGATCTACAGGGGAGCGGAGTCGCTTCGTGGCCGCCAACCGGGGAAGGGGCGCCAGCCAGCTGGCGGACGCACGGCTTAGAGGGGCGTCTGGGCAAATAAAGGTTTTGGGCTGGAAGGGGTATAGTGAGCCTGGGAGAGTGGACTGGTAGCACAAAGAATGTGTGCGTAAGGGTTAGAAGAGGAGATCCTGGAGCTTTGGTCTTCTCTTTCCCCCCTGCAATTGTGCATTTCGGAGGGACTCTGGCGGCAAGCTCGGTAGGCAAATAGCATCCGCTCCACGACTACACTTCCCAGAAGGCTGTGCAGAAGGGAGGGGGCGGGGAGCAGGCAACCTGTGTTGCGCTTGCGCAAAGAGTGATCTGGAAAGGCAGGTTGGGGGGAAAGGGGAGGCGTGCCCGCGACGAGGGCGAGGGGGAGGGGGCCGAGCGGCGGCGGCGCCAGGGCGGGCGCGCGTCCGCGGCGGTGATGGCGGTGCGTGAACGCGCGGCGGCAGCAATGGCCGCTCTGGAGCGGCGGGTGCCGAGTCTCGATGACTTCGCGGGACAGAGCTGGAGCTCGTGGGTGGAGCGGGCCGACCTGCCCGCGGCTGACGGTGAGTGAAGCCACCCTAAAGTCCGGGGACCCCATCACTATCTCCCCTCCCCCCTTCCGGGCCCCCGCCAGCTGAGGGGAGCCGCCGACTGGAGCCGCCGTCCGGCTCCCCGGCCCCCCAAACAAAGGACCCGCCGGGTCCTAGTGCCCGCCCGCTCCGTCACCTTCGCGCCTCCGGGTCCTAGCGCCGGCTCACCGCTCACAGCCCACCCAGCCCACCTCTGCCTCTGCCAGTCCCCAATACCTGCCCCCACATAGGCTTGCCTTTATCTTTCTCCTTGCCTGCTGGTCCCCAACTCGCGCCTCTCCGGCACCTGCCTCTGGCTTTCCCTGTCCGCAACAGTCCTCTCCACGTGTTTCCCACGCACCCCACTTCTGTGCCCCCTTCCTCACCCCCCTTGTTCTTTCCCCTTTTGCCCCACACCTCCTGCTCCTTTTCGGCGTTTGCCTGCAGCTGCAGTGCTTTTAGACCCCCGCCCCCTCCACGTTAGTTCCTCCGTCCATCCATCTATCCTCCCTCTCTCCCTCCATCCTTCAGTCCATCCATCCATGCCTCCAACCCTCTGTCCTTTCCCAGGCCTCTTGCCCTGCCTCTTGGCTTTCTCCTCTGACTCCCACCTTCTCCAGGCCCCTGAGTGCCTTAGTGAGCGGGCCTGCAGCCTTCTTCTTCTGATCTTTGTCTTCGGGGCCCCAGGGAGCACCTGGCCTCGTGGCCTTTCGGGGTGACAGCAGGCATCACGCCCCTGAAGAAGTTTACAAGTGAGAAGAGGTGGAGGAGGAGACGGCATGGAGGGGTCTCTAATGACACTTGTTCTCCTCTGAGACATCTGACTCTCAGTTTCGTTCTGTCCGTCATTCCCCGCACTTGCATTTCACGGACTTAGAAGGGGAGCTGCCCCTTGTCTCTTGCATGCCTAACCCACCACCCCTCATATCTGGATATTATATAAGATTGTCAACAATCTTCTCATCCTAGACGGGAGCATATCTGTTAATGGGCATCAGAGAGCAGACCTAAGTGGGAGCCTAGGCCACCCCGGGGCTGCCCCATGCTGGGTGGGCAAGGATGGGGCCATTGTCAGGGTCTGGGTGCATTGAGAACCGGAAATGGTGACTCAGAATTGATTTTTTTTTTTCCAAGGGACAGGGAGGGGGCGTAGAGGAGGGGGGGGAGCAGAGAGGTAGGGGGATGGGGAAAAAGCTGCTTTGCACAGCTAAGATGTTTTTGTCATTAACCCAGAAACTGAGGTACAAGGGCAACCCCTGCCCAAAGCCCCTCTAAGAAGGGGAGGGACTTGCATAGCTGACCAAGGAGACTTTGAAGATGCCCAAGGACCAAAGACAGCAGTTTCTCTGCTCTGTGACCATGCTATCAGTGCAGGACCTGAGAAGCTGGGTGTAACTTTGACAATGCTATGGTAACCCAGGTGGAGCAAAATGGAATTCATGGGGGTGGGGACCTGTGAGAGTATCTATTTGGGATGCCACAGAGTAGCAGAAGGGACCCATCTGAGAAATCTCAAGAAGAGACTCAAGGATTTATGGAAAAATTGGTTAAGGATTGTTTCCCCTTTAAATGGGGAAGCAGGCCCAGAAAAGAGATGATATTGACCACAATCACCCAACGAGTTAGCAGTGGAACCCTGAACTGCGCCTTGAAGTGAGGGGTCCCATAAGAAACGTGGATAGATTCTTCTTAGTGGGGCAATCTTGGTGCAGATGCAGCAGGTGAAGGAAGATGGGCATTTGAGAATGACCCTCTGAAAGGTTCATAGGTCCTAGCACCAGGAGCTTGTCACGGAGTGGGGGCTTCATACTGTTGTGTTGCAGGCCCTGATTGGGGCTTCTGGAAAGGGGACAACCTCTGGCTTGTCTTCTGGGAAGAACAGTCTCTGGTAAGGAGAGGCTGGAGAGTCCCTAAGACTGGCCCTGACCCTTCTGAGCTGTGTTTCTCCTCTAGGGGCTGAGCTGGAGGAGAGTAGCAAAAACACGAAGAAGTTGGATGCCATGACCCTCATTAAAGAAGGTGGGAGTCGACACACATTAGGGCTGGGACCCAGGGCAGACAGGACCACGCTCCACTTTTCCACCACACTACAGAAGGAGGTGGCTGCTTGAAGCAGCTGTCGGGGACCCTCATTTTGATAGGTCTGAGTCGGCCGGTTGCTCTGGCTCCTGTGACCTGTTGTTGGAGATCCTAATCATAGGTGATTGCCCACACACCTGAAAGCGCATACCCTTTGGGACTGCTTAGATTGAACTCTGGAAGCTGGGAGCATTCAGCATGGAGCCTGTCATGTCAGCGGGGAGGTGAAGTGCCCTCTGAGTGGTGGGGTGGGAGTGCTGTCTGATCGTTCAGGGAAACCCTGGGATCCTCAGCCCCAGTGACCTGGGCTTCTGTCATTGCAGACATGTCCATCTTCGGGCACTGCCCTGCCCATGACGACTTCTATTTGGTTGTGTGTAACCACTGCAGCCAAGTGGTGAAACCTCAAGCTTTCCAGAAGCACTGCGGTGAGGGGAGCCCTAGGGCAGAGATAGAGGGACAGGGGAAAGTAGAGCAGGGAACTCTGAGGACAGGGTCAGTGGGGAGGTCTCGTGGGGTAAGGGAGGGTGGTGTTGAGGATAGGAAGTTCCTGGGGGTGGCTTCAGAGCACTGTGGGGGTTGGATTATTGTAATTCTAGCATCCTGTGGAGTTAAGGCAGGTGTTAAGAGGTTCAGGAAGCTAGGTCTTGAATTTTGAGTCTTGAAGGCTCAGATTCAAATGGGAAGGAGGTATGTTTTCAATCTAATTTAAGGAAACTTAAAGATTCTCTCATGTGAGTCTATAGACAGGGTTAGGTTGGGGAAGGAAGCGGTGATACCACTCACCTTGATTATTCTTTCCACCTCCTGGTGACAGAAAGAAGACATGGGCCCCTCAGCAAGCTTTATGCCCGGGCCCCACCCCCACCTCCAGCCCCTGCCAGCTCTCAGAAATGCCATGTAGTGAATGGGCAGGGCCCAGCTTGTAGGGCCCCAGCTTCCACAAAAACCTCCTCCCGGGAGAAGGGCCATGGGTCCCGGAGCCGTGGCCACCAGCCTCCTGAGAAGACCCAGAAAGACAACCTCTGGTAAGGAGAGGCTGGAGATATTTCTAAGACTGGCCCTGACCCTGACCCAGGGAGGGGTTGACACCAATAGAGGCAGCCCTGGTCGAGGCATACTCCTCACAGCAGGAGGCAGTGCCTGTCTGCAGCTTCCTTCCGTGTGCTCCAGGGAAGATGGGGTCCCTTCTCCCCACGTTTCATACCCCTCCTGGAGCCCACCCAAGTTCCAGGGCTGGGAAGGAGATGGCGCTGGGCTAGAGTCCAGGCCCCAGGCCTCCCCTCCCCTTCCCCAGCTAACCCCCTCTCTCCATGTGTAGCCTTTTCGTGCCTGTGGTGAACCTGGAGAAGATGTCCAGTCTCCCGAAGCCCGACGGACACGGAATCAGGGTGGCCCCACCCTCTGCTTTTCTCAGCCAGCCAGGGGGCCTCACCAAGGACTCCCCTGGAAAACCTCCCATGGCTCCCCCTTCTAAAGAACCTCCTGGCAGAGAGAGGATCGAGATCATCCCCAGCGAGGGGTCCAGTCACCGGGCTGAAGGCAGCCCTCCTGAAAAGGAGCCCAGTGGGGCCAGGCTGCCCCCCAAAACCCACCGGAAGATGGCTCGTGAGTAGTCGTGGTCTTGGGGGTGTGGAAGGTGGAGTGGGGACTCCTTTGGGCGGCTTTGTCCTTGGGCTGGATGGGGAGGAGGTCAGGTTTATGAGCCTGGCCGTCACAGGTTGTAGGGTACAGGAGCCCCTGTCACGTCTTGACTTGCTGGCTTCTTAGGAAGCTTCTCTCCAGCCTGTGTCTCCGGATGCAGCCCATGCCCAGGAGGTGAAGTTCTTTCTCACTCTTTCTCACCTAGATCCCGGGCGCCAGACACATGTCACAACTGGCTTCTCTGGCATCCCAAATGCCCACGGCTGCTTGTGTTTCTTGATATGCGTTGCCCTGCTTTGGGCTTGAAGTCCCAAAAGGAGCACCTGGCATCAGGATAGGGATGGTTCTCACACTCAGCAAAGAGGTGTTGATGTCTAGAAGTTTCTCTGGAAGGTACAGCCCCAGGCTGAGGGCTGTAGGTGCTTCTGCCGTAATCCCAGTTCTTCTCAGGCCCTTGGCAGGAAGCGGCCAGATCCTCTTGTAGAACTCCTGGAAATGGTCTTGAGCAGGCATCCCCAAACTATGGCCCGCGGGCCGCATGCGGCCCCCTGAGGCCATTTATCCGGCCCCCCACCACACTTCAGGAAGGGGCACCTCTTTCATTGGTGGTCAGTGAGAGGAGCACAGTATGTGGCGGCCCTGCAGCGGTCTGAGGGACCGGTGTAAAGTTTGGGGACGCCTGGTCTTGAGGTTCATTGAAACTGCTTTCCCCACAGGGAAGGAGTGCGACCTCAACAGGCAGTGTGGGGTAATAAATCCAGAGACCAAAAAGATCTGTACCCGCCTGCTGACCTGCAAGGTAACCCCCTTCCCACTGCGCAGTGAGAGGACAGCACAGGGCTTGCCTGCTCCTTCCCTGGCAAGGAGAGGAATGTTGATGTGACTAAAGATCCAGCTTCAGGGAGGGCGGTTAGGCCCACCTTAGGGAAGGGGAGATGGAGATGCCCCTCCTGAGCGGAAGATGGGAGCAGTGGGCAGGGGTGGTTTCCGGCTTCCCCCATCCTGAGGGAGGGTTTTGGCCCCACGGAGGAGGGAAACAAAGACATGTGAACACACCTGCAAATATGCCCCCCCTGCTGTCCCTCACCCCTGCCGAGTTCATACCTGCTCCCCGGCTCTCCACCCTGCTGTGTTCTAGATCCACTCAGTACACCAGCGTCGGGAAGTCCAGGGCCGAGCCAAGGACTTTGACGTGCTGGTGGCAGAGCTGAAGGCCAGCTCCCGCAAAGGGGAGTCTCCCAAGGAGAAGAGCCCAGGGCGCAAGGAGCAAGCTCTCGAGCGCCCCTCCCAGGAGCTCCCTTCCGCAGTCCAGGTTGTGGCAGCAGTGGCTGCTCCCAGCAGCACTTTCTCTGTCCGTGCCAAGCAGACCTACCCATACTGTGCACTGCCCAGGTATGTCTAGCATCCAACCCCTACCTCACCTGGGGGTTCTTGGCCCCTCAGCCAGCAGGGGCCCCTGGAAACAGGCTCATGGAGTGTCCTGGAAGATGCACTCACTCCACCCTGAGTGTGGGGGGACTCCTGGGGCTCCTGACAGTAGTGTGGAAGCAGGAGATGCCCCTGTTCCCAACCAAGCATACCACAGCACCCCAGCCTCTCAGCCGCATGCCAGATCCAACACTTGGGATACGAACATTTTCCCAGCGGCCTCCGACAGGCCGAATCTTGTCACTGGGGAGCCGAAAGGGTCACAGTCCTGGGCAAGGCAGCCCTACGTGTATTCACTCACTGGCTCCTTCGTGTGCAGAGGCTACGCCGGACCCCGGGGAGAGCCTGCCTTGCTGAAGGAGACACACGTGCATCTCTGCCTGTCACACAAGGGGCAGACACGAAACAGGTTCAGCTCACAGACAGGCTCACAGGAATATGTGATGCAAGAAGGGGGTTGAGCAAGTTGACTGGGCTGACCAGAGCTGGGTGCAGTTTAACTGTGAAGATTTTCTGGAGGAGGCGGATCTGGAGCAGATGATCCCCTGAGGAGGAAGGGGCTGGGAGGTGAAGGGGCTGGGGAGAGAACTCCTTGGGAGCGGTCTCTCTGTCTCTTACTCTGTGAGCTCTGTGGTTCCCTCCTGCCCTTCCCTTCCCTCTGCCCTCTTCTGATTGCCCTGCAGGGTGTCTGCCCCTGGGCCCTGCTCTCTGAGCTTGGCGGGTTCAAGGACGCCCCTACTCTGACCCCACAACAGTCACATTCCCCTCACATCCCCTTTGGCCCTTTCAGGTCCCGGGGCTCCTCTGAGAGTGAATTGGATGATGAAGGCCCCTGTGGTGGTGATGGGGACCCAGGCCTGTTCCCCTTCCCCATGCCCCGGGGTGGGGCCCAGGCCTCCAGCGAGGACAGTGAGGAGGAGGGGACATCTGACGACCTCCACCTCCCCCCTGACTGCCATTATGCAACCCGGCCCCCGAGGCCACAGGCGGTAAGGACCTGGGGCAGGGGCCTAGGGTGGGGGTGGCCCAGCAACAGCACTCCTGGCCCACAGTATGTGGAGGAGGTCCGATCCTGTGTGCAGATGCCCTCTGTGCACCTCAACCCTGCCAACCATGCACCTTCCTTCTGCCTTTAGTTCTGCACCTTTGGGAGCCGGCTGGTGAGCCCAGGATGCTATGTATTTAGTCGCCGGCTGGACCGGTTCTGCTCGGCACTCAGCTCCATGCTGGAACGCCACCTCAGCTCACACATGTGGAAGTAAGTCTCTTGGGCCCAGAATGGAAGTTCTAGAACGGACATTCCCAGGTTCCAGACATACCTGGGCTTCAGAAGCCCTGATCTTTCCTGTACACCCATAGGTGCACCTTGGCTGTTTGCCAGCAGGACCCCAGATAGGGAATGCCGTGAAAAGGGGATGGGAAAACTTGGCAGCCTAGGGCTTGCCTAAGGCAGGGCATGGAAGGGTGGTCTGGGGGTGAATCCAGACTCTCCTCCATCACTTCCAGTACCTTTTGGGTGACTGGAGATAGGGGATGCCCCAACTAAGATTTAAAATGAAGTTCCCAGTGGGTCTACCTCCTAATTCGTATATACGAGCTAATTCCTCTCCACAGGCACATCCCTGTGCCATCTTCCTAACCCTCAGTTCCAGCATCTCCCAGCAGATGGCAGCAACTCTGGGGCTCTGCTGGCCATTTCTAGGTGGGGCAGAGAGACTGGAGTGTGTCTTGTGTTGGGGGAAGCTCTCTTGTTTGCTTGGCAGTCACAGCGGGCTCTCTCTTCGCTGCAGGAAGATTCCACCGGCGACCGAACCTCCATCTCACCTTGTCAACTCCCCCTTATCTGCTCCCCTGAGCCCATCCTCTACGGGCAGCTGCCCCCGCCTTCCAGGTCCACCCCCCAGACCTGCCTGCCCAGCCTCCACACCCTCTACCAAGGACAGCCTTGTCCCCAGCTACCCTGCAGGCTCCCCCAGCGTGGCGGCCGCCTGTAGCCAGGCAGAGTGCATGGGCGGGAGCCAGGCTATCACCTCACCACTGCCTGCCAACACGCCGTCCCCGTCCTTCAGCAAGCTGCCGCCTTCCAAGGCCAGCAAGTCATCCAAAGGCAAGGACGGGGTGGAGATGGAGGCCCCTTCTCGAAAGCGGAAGTTATCCCCTGGCCCCACCACTTTTAAACGGACCTGCATCCTGGAGCCCACTGGAAAAGGCAAACCCTCTGGCTGCCGGGGCCTCTCGGCCAAGACTAAAACAGCCCTGACCGTGGGGCTTAATGGGACAATGGGGCCAAGAGTGAAGCGGGCAGGGCCCCTGGACTGTCGTGGCTCCCCTCATCAGCTCCCCACACCAGTCAAGGCTTCTCAGCTGGAGAACCGGGGAGCAGCCGGACACCCAGGCAAGGCCCTGTCAACCAACTGCCTCTCTGAGGAGGAGGTGGCCAAGAAGCGGAAAAACCTGGCCACTTACTGCCGGCCGGTGAAGGCCAAGCACTGTCAGGCCGGTGCCCCTGCTGATGTGGCCTGTTCTGTGCGCCGCAAGAAGCCAGGCCCGGCCCTGGCCTTTGAGGAGAAGTGCTCTACACTGAAGGTACCAGCCAGGCTCCCTGAAGATTGACGAGGGTGGGGTGCACAGTGGGTACCTGATACGGAGAAGATGCTACATTGGTGTTTGTGCCGGGAAAGGGAGGCAGGGGAAGTTGAGAGAGAGTTCCTGGACTGTTTTCTTTAGGAAGAGGTAGGTCAGCTCTTAGCAAAGTGACTCCAGCATTTGCCTGGTGAACCTTCCCCTATCCCTAACCCTTGTCCTCCGGCTAAGGAGATACTGCAGCCCTCCACCCCTGCTTTTGCCGTAACCAAAGGGCCAGTTGTGTCTGAATTGGCTGTGACCCTCATTCCAGGTACTGGAGCTACCTCTGTTCCCTGAAGGAAAGGGAGTTTGAGTCCTTGGGTCACAGCCTAACATGCCGAGCAGCAAGGTGGGTGGGCTGGTCTTGCTCACTGGTTTTTCCTCTGGGCATCAGGGCCTTGAAGTGCAGGCACACGACCCCATGGCCACTTCTGCACGTGTGCCCACCTTGCACATGTGCTCACCTCCAGCCGTGTGGGTGACAGACAGGTTCTCCAGGATCACTAGTAAAGCCTGTAGCCGGTTTTACTTGCCTGTTCTGGTGGGATCCCTGGCATAGCATGCCATGTGCTCTCTATATAATCTCTGCCAGGAGGGACTTACCGGAGGTGGGATGGGGTTGCTCTCCTGGGTTAGATGTGGGCCCATAAGCCCTGTGTGTCCTCCAACTTCACTACCCAAACTGGCTCTAGTGAGCTGACATTCATCTTCCCCCTTGCTCAGCTTTACTCCCCAGGCCAGCAGAAGGGAATCAAGATTTAGCCCCTGTAGTCCACACAGTTCACCGGGAAGGACCGCAGGCAGGCCCCCACCCTGACCCTTTCTCTTGCCTCTTGTCTTCCTGCAGTCAAAAGCCCATTAATGAGAAAGTGCCTGCCCACTGCAACGGAGCCGCCAGCACCTCCTCCCCTCCAGATCCGGGCCCCAGGCTGCTGCCGCTTTTTATAACTTTATATTATTTTTTTTAAGAAAAAAATCTCTTTAAAATACCTCAAGACTGTCTCCCTGTTCTGTTGCTGCTATGAAAATATAAAAACAGAAACGTAGAAAAGGAAGGGAAAAAAAAAAAAAAAAATGAGTGTCCTTACTGTCCCCAGCCCTACCCTGGGTGACTGAGATGATAGGCAGCCAGACTCCAGCTCCCATAGCTTGCCTGCAAAAATCTGTTATGCTCATTGTTCCTGTTGTCATCTTGTCGTTTTCAGTAGTGTGAAAATGCATGGAGTTTGTGTCAGTGGGAGAGTGTTCTTTCCAGACAGGATGATGAGGTGTGTGGCTCTGAATGGGCAAGGCTTCCTGAGTCTTGAGCCCAGAGATGACTATGGTCCCATTGGTAAGAGAAACTTGAGAGGGAGAGCTGCACCTCTGGCTCTTCGCTAGGATCCTTGCCCTGAGGGTCTGGGAATCGGCTTGTGGAATGGGCTGAGGTCCTCCAGCAACCCTGGGCGTCCATCCCTCCCTGAATTATTGCCTGTTTTTCTTCAGCTGTTCCTGCTTTTCCCACCTCTTACCAGCAGCCTCATTTTCTCAACCACTTAGGGAGCTTGAGCTGGGCTGGTCATTGCTGTTGGAAGTTCCTGCTTTCTGTTGGACAGCCTTTCTTCCCGGCCTGCGGGTTTGCCTTTAAGGAAGGGGTAGAACCTTTCCCAGGGAGGCCTCCTTGGGCTGAACCACACCTTTTTCGGAGGCAGGAAGGGAAAAGGCATCATCACTTGCAGAACTGGTGGTGTGGGAGGCCCTGGTCCCTCAGGATCACCTGGCTCCTCAGGGCTGAGCAGCTGCTGAGGAGGCGGCAGGGCTGGGAGTGCCCTAGTTATTCCATTTATCTCGCTGGGGACAACTGTGCAGAAAGGAGATGAGACTTGCATCTCCCTCCTTTGGTCAACCAGGTTCAAGGCACTATATTTTAGCCCCGTCCTTTCCTATTTGCCTTGCTTTTAGGCAGGGAGGAAGCTGGTTCCCTGAACAAAACAAAAGGAGGCGACAGGAGACAGTGCACAGCCAGGGAAATCCAGGACTACTAGAAATCGGCTCCAAACACTGGTTTCACACTCTTGGTTCAGCATACTAAGTGTGTGATTTGGGGTTTCACTGAAATCGTTTGCCACAAGTGTAATATCCACAGGCTGCTTGGGATTTAGGCCCTTGTAGACAGACACGCAGATACAAATGAAGGTGGGCCGGGAGCTGTCCGGTCCCCTTCTGCCTCCGGGCTCTCGCGGGAGCGGGCCTCTCCGGAGCACTCGCGCTTCCCCCCCGGCCCCCAGAGGGCGCTGTGGGCCGCTCCGCCGCACTGTCGGAGGCGTCCCCGGGGAGGAGCCTCTGCTGCAGCCGCCTCCGCCTCCGCGATCGCAAACCCGGAAGACGTGCTCGGGCAGCTGGAGTGTGCGGGCCCGCCGGGCACGGCCATGCAGCCCCTGGAGGTAGGTCTGGTTCCCGCTCCAGCTGGGGAGCCGAGACTGAGCCGCTGGCTGCGGCGAGGCAGTGGGATCTTGGCGCACCTGGTAGCTTTGGGCTTCACCATCTTTCTGACAGCGCTGTCCCGGCCAGGAACCAGTGAGTGTGCGGGGCGGGGCGGGGCGGGGCGGGGCGGGGCTGCGGAAGAGGGCGGAGCGGAGATGCTGGAGGGGCAGCGCTTGGGAGCGCCCAGAGTCTTGGAGGAGGGACCCCGGCTGTAAAGGGGAGACAGAGACAGTGGAGGGGTTTTGAGGGCCTGGTGGGGCGGGGGCGGGGGCGGGGGCGGGGCCCCAGGGGTCCTGGAAGAATGGGGCTTTGGGTGCTGTGGGGGAAGGAGACAATTGAACAGACCGAACATCGTCCTCAGAAACAGGTCCCTGATGGAGGATAGAAGTGAAGGAGGCCGGGCTCGGTGGGTCAAGCCTGAAATCCCAGCACTTTGGGAGGCCGACTCGGGTGGATCACTTGAGGTCAGGAGTTCGAGACCAGGCTGGCCAACATGGTGAAACCCGGCCTCTACTAAGAATACAGAAATTAGCCGGGTGTGGTGGCGCGCCTGTAGTCCCAGCTACTGTGGAGGCTGAGGCAGGCGAATCGCTGGAACCCGGGAGGTGAAGGTTGCAGTGAGCCAAAATCGTACCACTGCACTCCAGCCTGTGCGACAGAAGGAGACTCCGTCTCAAAAAAAAGACAGAGATCTATTCTCTATTCTAGGACTGAGCTGCCAGCTGAGAGGTGCTGAACCGGGAACCCAGACCAAACTGTTTGTGTGCATAGGGAGGCCCTCTTGGTTGCTTACCTTGGGGCCCCTTAGCTGCTCCACTTTGTCCTTAGTTCCTGTTCCCGATTAGGGTTGGGGATGCTACTTTTCTCCTGTGGCTGGATTCTTTGGGATCCTCCTAACTACAGGGGCCGGAACAATGGTATGGAGCCCTCAGCCCTCTTCTCTTTGATTCTTAGGTCTTTTCTCCTGGCACCCTGTATTTATGGCCTTGGCGGTGAGTTTGGGTTTCTATCTGATTTGTTTGGGTATGTCCCACCTCACTCCCAGGGAAGCACCCAGCCTTCAGAAAGCTCAGCCTTTCTAAGGCTAAGACGGGTGGAGGAAACATCTAGGGCTCATCTTTCCCTGCAGCCTATGGGATTTGGAAAGCGGAGGGCTGGGCCATAGGCAAATGTCAGGTGGTTCAAAAGGGTGGCAGGGCATGGAAGATACTTCTTTCTCCATTGGGGTCTGAAAGAGAAGGGGGGGTGAGGTGATATCCAGTCATCTCCCTACTTGTCCCCAAATTTCAGGAGGAAGTTTAACATTTGCTGTTCCACTGGTCAAGAAACGGGAGTCATTGTAGAGGTTGGGGTGGGGAGATGTCAACCTGAACGAGGAGACTTTATTGCCAGAAATATTGAGCTGTGAGGCTGGTAGGCCTGGTGGAACTTATTTAAACCCTATCCCCTGTCCTCTTTGTTAGGACGTATGAGAGGACCTTTTTTTTCTCAGGCCTCCAAGCCAGACATGAGGCTTACTGCTCTCTCCTATGTTCACAGTTCTGCCTCTGCATGGCCGAAGCCATCCTACTCTTCTCACCTGAACACTCCCCGTTCTTTTTCTGCTCCCGAAAAGCTCGGATCTGGCTCCACTGGGCAGGGCAGACCCTAGCCATCCTCTGTGCAGCTCTGGGCCTGGGCTTCATCATCTCCAGCAGGACCCGCAGTGAACTGCCTCATCTGGTGTCCTGGCACAGCTGGGTAGGAGCCCTGACACTGCTGGCCACTGGTGGCCAGGCACTGTGTGGGCTCTGCCTCCTCTGTCCTCGGGCAGCCAGGGTCTCAAGGGTGGCTCGCCTCAAGCTCTACCATCTGACATGTGGACTGGTGGTCTACCTGATGGCTACGGTAACGGTGCTTCTGGGCATGTACTCAGTATGGTTCCAGGCCCAGATCAAAGGGGCAGCATGGTACCTGTGCCTGGCACTGCCTGTGTATCCAGCCCTCGTGATCATGCACCAGATCTCCAGATCCTACTTACCAAGGAAGAAAATGGAAATGTGAGTTCCTGCAAACTCTGAATCTAGGTGGGACATTTGCCTTGGACTTCATGGTTCCTTTGGTCGTCTACAAGGGACCTGTTTAAGAAGTGGTCAGGGTTTTGCACTTCTTGGCTGGTCCAGGGACTGCAGAAACCAAAGCTGCTATTGCTGAGGAATAATTCAGTGGGCCAAAATGGGGAAATGTACTGGGTACGAGTGGAAGGTGATGGAGAGCCTGATCCTGAAGCCACTACTTGATGAGAGTCAGTTTTGGGTGGTGCTAGTGATGTGCTGGTGGTCATTTCTTGCTTGTGTGCCTGATGAAAAATTGTAAGTTATGAATGGCATCCATGGATATTTGGCTTACTTTTAAGAAAGCAGTGTGATGTAGTGGAGAGAGCCCGTGGGCCATGTTTATGGGATATGGTACTCTTAGGCTCTGTTGTACAACCTTAGGTACATTCCATACCTTAAGACCTCTGTTTCTTCATCTGTGAAATGTTTCTAAGCAGCCTCTAAGTCCCTTCCGTCTTAATATTCAACATCTGTCAGGTCCATGTCTCAGAACACCCTCCCGGCTGTGAACCATGTGGACCACTTAGCAGACTCGGGGTAGTTCTTTCCTCTACCTTTATTCCCCTGGAGGGACAGCTCTGCCCTTGAGGCCCTTCAGAAATTTGTGCTGATTTGGTCCCTGCACCAGGGCGTAGGGGGTCAGACACTGTGGAGAGAAGGGACTCAGATGAGGGTCTTCCGGACTCCAAGACAGTGAAGGCACTAAAGTCACTTTAAAGCTTTTGGCAGAGTAGGAGGGCATTGGCAACTTCCTTCAGCCCACCTTAGGATCTGGGCTTGAGGGCTGCAAGGCCTGTGTGTGCTCCCTCCCCTGAAATTGCTTCTCAGGGCAAAGGAGCCCTGGGCATCTCATGCTTTGCCCTTCTTAGGGCTCAGTTTCTTGCCTTAGCACATAGCTACTTGGAGCTTTGAAAGCTTTTCATAAGGGCCAAGGAAGTGGGGAAGGGCTTTTCTGATCCAAAGGAAACAAAGTGTTTCTGGTTCCCTCTCTTCCTTTTTTTGTTATCTAAGCTTTCCTCAGTTGTCATCTCTTGCCAGCTCTTTGGTCCAAGAGAGGACTGAGTTTGGTGCCAGCTGGCAAATGAGGGCTGGGCTCTCTTCCCCACAGAGAACCCCCTTCCTCGTTGCAGCTGAAAGTAGTTCCCCAGACTGCCCTTGGTGGTGAGGACTGGATGCCAGACTGCTTAGCTGCGGTCTGGCTCAGTCGGGAAGATGGGACCCCCTTAAATCATGGCAAGGACTGACAACAGCGAAGCCAGGAAAGTGCTGCTGAGGAAGGTACACGTAGCTCACAGGGAACTCTGGGAAGCCTGGGGCGTAGGCGCTGGAGCTCCAGTTCCTGGGAGCAGGGGCAGGTGTTCTTAGATGTTGATGTTGTGGATGACCCGGGTCTTCTGAAGATTCAGGTCCTCCTCTCCGTGTAGCTCAGAAGAAAGGAGGTTGGTGTGATTCGATAGTACAAGAATGGGGACAGCAAGGGCAGAAGTGTCCTCTCCGTGTACCTCATTATGCCTCTCCTGGGGGAGACTGCATCTTTCAGGACAAGCATCTAAAGGAGGCCCCTGCTGTGCAGAGGGGTGATTGTTCCTGTCTCTCTCATTGTCCTCCCTCCTCTCAAACTATCCAGTGTGGTGTGAACTCAGAAGAAACAGTTACTGGGGCTGCATGGAGAATCTCACCTGTGGTGATTTTGATCCAGGGACTGCATCTCCTCTTCCCTCATCACAGCCAATGCTGAGGGGCTCACCCTACCTACAGCAGGGTAGGAGGGCCAGGCAGAGTTCACCAGCTTGCTCTGAGAGCAAGCAGGCAATGCCGTAAAGCCTGAGCCTGCCTGAGGTGCTGCCTCCTCCCAGGTGGTGCGGGGGCTGATGGGCGGGCGGGCAGGCGTGCTGACAGCCGGCAGTTTGCGTGGGCTGTGCCATCTGATGTCTATTCCCAGCCCTGGGAGGAAGGGGGAGTCATTTATATTCTGCAGGAGGAAGGGGCCCCAGCTGTCGCCTTTCTGACCAGCGGGCCTGGAGGACAGGGGCACAGAGCAGAGAGGAGGGCACAGGTGGTCTCCTGCTTAGCCTGATCTGACTGCAGTATAGGGAACAGGTCACCAGGAGGAGCCCTTCATCCTGGCAGGCCGGATTGTGGAGTGACTTCCCTCCCCCGCTTTCCATTTCTCCATCACCACCTGCCCTCACATCCTGGGGCAGCAGCTGGACAGCCATTAGACCTCAGTGCCAGGGCACTCTTCCTCCAGCTGGCATCTCAGTGGCTCCCAGCTTCATGGCCTCCTGCTTGTGCGTTCCCTCCTCCTCCCTCCTCTGTTCTGAGCACCTCCCCTTTTCTCCTCATGTCTGGGGTATTCACTTGGCTCCTCGGCAAGGAAGCCAACGCCTTGGAGGAGAAGCGCATGGTTGCCCTTTTGTCCTTGCTCCCTGGCTAGGGAAAGCTGCTAGTGGTCAGCCTGTTTTGCCTTAAAAAAAAATAAAATTAAATTAAAAAGCCAGGGCAGGGTGCTTAGATTTTTAAAATTTGTGTGTCATTTGCACAAATTTTCATATCAAGCTAAGTCCTGATTCCATCTGATTATATTCCAAATTTGATCATATTCCAAGTTTGATTATATTCAGATTCAACCTCGAGGACATTAGAAATACAGATGGCTTCTGTATCCAAATCTGAACGGAAATGGGATTACCTTTCTGGGATCAGCCACCCCTCCCAAACCCCCATCTTTCCTGTAACTACCCCTCTTCTGACCCCCATCACGGCTGGAGGTGGTATGGAATGAGAGAAGCTCTGTGTCAGGGGAAGTCCTCCAGCCTCACCTTGGCTCTTAAGTGGTAGGCTGTTAGCATTTGCCAGGCTGGGCCTCCTCTTCCCCAACACTTTCACAAGGCAGACTGCCCTTCCCCACTCACTGGCCTGTCCTTTCTTTCTCATTATCCCACCTTTTTCCACCCCGGTGCATGGATGCTGTAGACATTTTTTTTTTTTTTTTTTTTTTTTTTTTTTTTTTTTGAGGTGGAGTCTCTCTCTGTCCCCAGGCTGGAGTGCAGTGGCACGATCTCGGCTCACTGCAACCTTTGCCTTTCAGGTTCAAACAATTCTCCTGCCTCAGCCTCCTGAGTAGCTGGGACTACAGGCACCTGCCCACCATATATTTGTATTTTTAGTAGAGACGGGGTTTCACCATGTTGGACAGGATGGTCTTGATCTCTTAACCTCGATCTGCCCGCCTCCGCCTCCCAAAGTGTTGGGATTACAGGCGTGAGCCACCACGCCTGGCCAGGTCTTGTTTTTAAAATCTCACCGTGGGAGATTCAGGCATTCTCCCTGAGCCAGCTGGCTGCTGTGCCAAGGCCTGTTCAGAGTTAATAATCATAATTAACTGAATGGTGCTGGGGCCTTTCAGCTTCAGATCTCTAAGCACTTGCAAGATGAGTCAGCCAGCCCTGACCTTAGCCCTCTTCCTGGGTTGCAGAGTGTCACAGAATGGGGAGGCACTGTGGGAAGGAAGTCAGGAATCTTGCTGCTAGCCACGCCTTGCAGTGTCTCTCTTCTGGGAGTGGGCAGAGAGTCCTCTCAGTAAACTTGCAAAAATAAGACTTGCACCTGACAAAGGTCAAGATATGTAGGGAACACAGTGTAGGCCAGTGGTGGTGGCAGGGGTGGCTGTTGAGCCTCAACTTCTAGTACTCCTGCCCTTCCTTCTGTTTACCTGTCTTGGCCTCCAGGGTGCACTCCTGGTCTCGATGCCTCAAGCCCAGCATTTCTGGGGCTCCTCTGCAAGCTTAAGAGCAGGGAGGCTTCTGTTAGTGCTCCTGATGCTCCTGTGTCTGGTGGGCACAAATCCTGCGTAACATGAAATGAAAGGTGCATCGGCCTGGGGGCTGGGAAATCTGCAGTATGAATTTACTCCGTTCCTATCACTGGTGTGGCCGTGGGCAAACCACTTAATGCTTGACCTACCTCACAGGGATGTTGTGAGGGTTAGATGAGAGAATGAATGTTAATAGGAATTGGAAAGTTCAAAGCATTAAACTAAACGCATGTAAACAGGTGGTATGATGTTCTTGTCTTTCTCTTTCACTGAGCCAGGCTTTGGGCTTTATGCTTCTTAGGCAATACAGTTATGGATAATGACAGGGGATCTAAGTCTCAGAGAGTTGTTTTTACCATCGTAAGAAAACATGGACACATTTCTTTCCTCCAGATGCAAGGCCAGCTCTTACTCCTGCCAGAAATGTCACCAAGGCCATGACTAGAGACATTTGCCTTAAGTGCTGCCTACCTGGTGTTCTCAAATCACAGGGCAGACTGCAGAGCTCGGAGTCAGCACAATTGCTCCCTAGATCCAGCCTGAACTTCCTGGAGCTGGTCTTCGTCGGGAGCTGCAGGTCACAAGTCTATCTAAATCTCTCCTAATTCTGCCCTTCTGAGGGAAAAGGGGGGCAGACAAGCTAGGAAGGGAGGAGCAACTGTAACAAACAGCAGTACCACTGACCCTCTGGTTTCCTGAAGCCGCAGAATAAGCAACACCTGCCTCAAGCATTGGTGATGCAGAGCTATGACCCCTGGCTTCCAGGGGTCCACAGCCTGGTTTTCCTTTTCCTATTTCAGGCTTTTGGAGTAGGATCAGTCCCCTCCTCCTCAAAGTGCTTTATTGGCATTCACACACACACACACACACACACACACACACACACACACACACACACACACACTGAAAGCAGCATTCACTCACAGAGAGAGAGAGCGCAGTTCTGTTTAAATTTTAAATTGGGGAAGGATACTTTCCATTCCATTTGTCTGAGACCAGCCAGCAGTCTGCCTGGAGTGGATGCAAAGAAGCAGGAACAACAGCAGTGCAGAGGCTTGAATATTCGTTTTTTATCTTAATTGTTTTTTCTGTCCTGGGATCCAGGAATGACACACTAGTCCGGCATTGTGTGCAGAGCCTCAGCAGTTCTCGCCAGCACTGCACAGAGAAGACAAGCTGAAAGGCAGCACTGCCCTGGACGGTGGTTTGAGGTAGCCTGTCTCCAGCATGGGCTGGGCTTAATGTAGGCAGAAGTTACCTCCAGTGAGGAAACCTTCTCCCTACCCACCGGCTCAGGGGACTTGGCTAGTCACCAGATGTATAACAGAATAACAATCTCAGTTTTTAATCCGCCTCCTATTGTTAGAATTTCCCAGATGAGTTTTTAAACTCTGTTGGAAGCAGATTAAGGAGAGACTTCAGGCTACTCCGTGGTATCTGAGAAGCCAACTCTGTCTTACTGAGTATACATGAGTGGCCCCCTAGCATTCCTATCTTAAAAGCAGATTCCCAGTTATCTCACGGTACTTTCTAAGGATGCTCAGTTCTGCTCAGGACCCCCAAAAGCAAACTACCACCAAGTGAGGAAGCAGTAGGAGGTGAGAGAAAGCAAGCACGAAGTACAATCCAGCTCCAGTACTCCCCAACCCGTATGTGCACACAGGCAGCACACACACCGGCTTTGGGGGCTACGACTCCTGCCTAATGTATGCCAGTGCCAAAGGGCACCCAGAAGGCTCCACGTCCTGGCTCACTGCAGGTTAGTTCTCTCAGGCCATGGTTCCAACCAGGGAGAGTAAACAAGCTGACTAGATTGGAGGCCTCAGGGCAGGGCTAAGTGTCTTCACTTCACTTTTGCATTTTCCACCTGAGAGTGTAGAAGCTTGATGAAGGGGCTTGACTGGCAGCTGCTTTAGCCTGCCTTTCTCAAGCCTCAGGAGAGGAGGCATCCAGCACAGGCTTACTGTGGCTAGACCAGAAAAGCCAACCGTCCCACTGCAGGGCCTGAGCCTTTTCTGCTCTGTGGGTGGGGAAAGTGAAGCATCCCCACTGGTTTCCTGGGAGACACAAGATAAGTGGTGCAAGAAGTGCAAATACAGAAAGGGAAGGAGAGACTAGGGGGAAGACAGGCTAGGCTAGCCAATGCACTGAACTCTTTCATCTGTTCTAAAAGAAAACTGTCACGTTAGCCTCTTTCCTCCCCGCAACTGCTACCTAGGAGGAGCCAGGAGTGCTACAAGGCATGGCAGACAAAATTGCACACCTTGGTCAGAATCTAAGGAACTTCTTGTGTTATGGGGGAGATGGTGGGGATGTGATTGGTGGGGGGGGGGGGGCGATGTGTGTGGGAGAGAGGCAGCCATGGACTTCCCTGGGCCGGACACAGGCCAAAACAGGAGCCAACTCCAAGTCGTCTTCGTCAGACTTGCTCTCCTTATCAGCGTCATCCTGTCAGCCATAGCAAAAACTGCTTTGCAGATAAAACAACTGTATAAATGCAGAGTATGGGAGTGCTCTGACATCAACAGCTGTCATTTCACTGACTGCTACGGTTGACTTGTTTGATGTGGCTGATTGTGCAGTAGCTCCACCCCTCATTACCTTGGTTGTTACTGAAGTGAAAAACAACTTTCCAGATAGAGGAGGGCTGCCCTTCGGTCAAGACTTTAGGTATTCAAATTTGGTTTTTAATTTTTTTCCTTATATCATTTCCTCTCCCCCTTTGGAATCTGCCATGGCAATCCCCTTCCGGAATCACCAAGGGAGTAGCCAAAGAATCTGCATGGTTAGAGTTTAGAATCCAGTCCAATTTCTGGTAGGCCGAGTCTGCACCAAAAAGTAGAGACTGCATTTTTCCGTTCCATGCAATGCCTAGGACACACTAGACTGTCAAGGAAGATTAACCTGGCCATTAGATGAATGTACTTTTAGCCTAAGATGGCTACTATTTACAACATGAAAATACTAATTTAAAAAATTCTGTGAAAGCGAGCTGTTCCCTACCATTTTCTAAGACGCAATCCAAACATTTTTTCCATGGTATGGTCAGTAAGCTTGATCCAGACTTTTAAGAGAACTCTGCAGGGAGGCAACCCTCCACCCTAGGGTCCAGGAAGACTTCATTATCTACAAGCCTCAGCGCCAAGTCATGGCATTTCTAAACTCTAAAGCTTCAGTGACATTTCTTTTGAGAATCTTATCTCAGAGGTCAGCAAACTATGGTCTGTTGGTCAAACCAGCCCTTGCCTGGTTTTATGTGGTCTGTGAGCTAATAATAGTTTACATGTTTTTTAATGGTTGGAAAAACTCAAAAGCCATGATAAAATTATACGAAATTCAAATTTCAATGTCCATAAGTCAAATCTGATTTGGACCAGAGCCACAGTCATTCGTTTCTGTCCTGTCTGTGGCTACACTCAGGCTATAGCAGCACAGTTGAGTTGTTACAGAGACTGTATGGTCTGCAGAGCCTAAAGTCTTTACTGTCTGGCTCGTTAGAGAAAATGTTTGCTGACCCCTGGTCCATCTTAATGCCTAGATGTGTATTTTACCCATGTCCTTATAACAGCACTTAAAGATTTTCTTCCTAGATAGGCCACACCCTTCTGAGGTACAGCGAACCCCACCCACAGGCTGAAAATATAAATAAACCAGTCAGATTGTGCCAGAACAGAGACTCAAGCCAGGTTTAATGATCATTGTCTAGTTTTCAGAGCCCAGAGGCTCCAAGATTTGCCAGCCTAGGTATACACAAGTGGGAGGAATGGGGTCTTGGACACGGGAGGCCTGCTTGGTCAGCAGAGCTACAAGGAAGTACAGAGGTAAGAACACACAGAAAACTGGATCTGTCTGCTTTCCTCTCCGCAGTTGGGGTGTACCCTCTCTTGGCCCCTTCCCTGGGCTCCATAAATACAGACAAAAACAAAATAAAGATCACAAATAATTACACAGACAGATTGTAGAGCCCTGTCATACTGTCTCCAGGGACACCTGCTTCCTGGGAGACATGTCAGGTTTATGGGTGCAGGGTAGGGTGAAAGGAGGTGGTGATTTCTTGGCCTTTTCTTATACCCACACCTGGCAGTTTTCAATACAGGGTTCTAGTGAACTTGCATATGCTGATTACTCAATTCTCCAGTTAAAAAGCTGCCTTTGGGTTCTATCACCTGAAACCACAGGAATAAGCGAATCAGTTACATCTCTTGGTAGGGCAGCCAGGTACATCTACCAGGTGTCTCAAACTCAAGGCCAAACTAGTGGATATAATCGGGAGACTTAAGAACTGCAGGGCTTTTTCTCATTCCCTAAACTGGGAAGGAATTATGAAGAAAACGGCCCTCCTAGTCCTCAGGAGCTCCACCAGGATGCCCCAGAAGGCCTGCTTCATTTAACGCTCACTTTAAAGATCTTCAGAGCCCTAGATGGTGCCAAGCGGGGAAACTGCAGCATGGAGATGAGATTTTCCCAGATTTCCTGATGAGTCTGAGGAGGGAGTCCTGGTTCCTATAGCTCCAGTAACAAAATTCTCAGGAGTCTCTTGAATAAATCAAGACACTTTTCTCTCCTGAGTAGTTAACAGGCAGAGCAGCTCACAGCTGCTTAGCCCCTTGCCAGTTTCCTTCAGAGTCCTTCAATGACCTAGTTGTATCTTAATTGCTCATATATATAGTCTTTAAGGGAGGTTTTTGAGGAGTCTGAAGAACCAGGTAGCTCCTCACCACCCCTTCTCCCAAGGTTTTCAACCCATGGTTCTTCTACTCCAGCCTGGGCAGAAAAGTGATGCAGTGCCATGGAGATGTGGGTGAAGCTTCAGGGAGTTCAGAAATTAAAATACAGGAGTATTTGAAGAGCCTGGCATGGTCACTGTCTCTCCTAAAGGGGAATAAAATTGTGTGCATGAAGTTGTGCACATTGGTGGAGACCAGTCTGAGAGTGGCATTAGTGGGGACTACAGATTTACTGTCCTGGTGGAAGTCAAGGTGCTGGTGTGCATGCATACCTATATAAGCATGCATACCTATGAGCATGCAGGTACTTGAGGGAAATGCTGCACCTCTCTCTCAACAAAACTAGGTTACTAATAAAGGATGGACAGCAGTCTTGAGTTCCCAGGACCAGACAAGGGGAAGATGTTGAGTCCCCTTCCCCAATCTTAATAGGAAGTTTAAGAGTCCGGCCCTCCAAGCCCCTCACCCACAGGTAAATGACACCTCTTAGAATGTCAAAAGCAGGTCAGAAGTCTAGAGATC